TCTGCTCGACCTTCTCTCTTCATCTACTATTCACTTTCTGCCTTTTCTCCTCCGTCCTCTCATCTGTCCTCTTCTCTGGCCATCTCGTTCTCCATTCTTCTCCTCCTGACCCCCCACCTCGTCGCTCTTTTCGCCGTATCCACGCCCTCGCTTTTTCTTCACCCTTTACCTCCTCCACCCCTCCACTCTCTCCCTCTTGTCTTGTCTCCCGTGTCGTTCATGGATTATTAATCATCTTGTGGAGCTGGAATGCTGCTGTGACACTCTGCAGACCAGCCGCGGAAAGCTATTGACTTTAAATTTGGTTCAAAGAAACCACGAGGGATTCTTCAATGGCTGCTGAACTTGTCCTCGCTGCTAAGGTTAGAGTATAGATTATTCACAAACTTGGACAAAGTATGGATCAGCTGCAAGAGAAGCAGAGAAGTAACAATATGCTTAAGTTAATGGGGTATGCAGGATGCAAGTGGCTGAGGAAATCAGATATTAGGGAGCAGAAAGCGTGCCTTTGTAATGAGTTATGACTGCCGGTTATGGCTGATCGCAAATCTCATTTGTTTGCCAACAAATTGTAGTTTAACTATGACAAAGGGCAAGAAACGTAAAAAAGCACTTAATTTTTTAAATTAGCATTTTGGTTATTCCCTAATGAGATTATATTAAACAGATGTCCTGGAAACATCGGGCAGTGCAGGAACAGCGATGTGAGTTACGCTACGATGCTATAAATGATAGCGTTGGAGAGACGGTAGTTCGTCTCCTACGTTTCTTGTCAACTCTGAAACAACAAGTTTGTATTGTGGATCGCCTTAAAATAGATTGAGTACTGATAATGGGACTGCAGAACTAAGGAACTGTAATGCGTTACAGACAAATGTAATGTGATTACTGTAATGCATTTCAACATCTTGCTTTGACCGGTTTGTCGGTCCGTTTGCTGGTCCCAGAATAGAAATCTCCCTTCGGTTTCCTCGCCGAACAAACCTCACGAGAGCTAAGAGCTTCACAATCTGGATTTAACTTCCCGTAGCAGATACTCACGTTGATGATTTGATTTAACAGGGGATATAACTAACGAGGCCTTTAACGACGTATCGCTTCCTCTTCACAGAGCGTGCTGAAAAGATTTTGTCAGTTTTCAGACTTAGTTTTCTTTGCAGCGTGTCGTCTGTGTCGTAGGAGTCGACGGTGATCAGGTTCATGTGATGTTCGGTCCTCATCGCGCTCGGGTTGTGGTGAAAACCTTCGTCTGCTGTGAATCTTCTTTCTGCCCTTTTCTGAGTCAGAGTGAGATTTTTATTTATTTATTTTTTATTTTTTTTTGCATCACATGAAAATAACTTTAGTTCAAATATGTAGCAGAGTTGCCATGGTAACAGAAAATAAAGCCTGGAGTAAGATAACAAGGAATGAAACATATCTGCCAAATCTAAGAACATGTCATTTTATTTATTTATTTTTTTAATGTGACATCAAAAATGTAAGATTTAATTGTGTTTTAACGATGTCCCGGGCAGAGAGTTTAAACGTTTGTCTGAAAGCCAACAGGCAGCAGAATGATGTGTGTGATGATTATGATGTACATCCTGAATCGCAGCAGCATCAGGCTGCGTGCCGGGAGTCTGGTCGTGCATCTGCATAATCTATTGTGTACCTCCGTGCACCAACGTGTGTGTCGCTGAATGTGTATGGAGGAAGATTGCTTTCTTCAGGAATCACATGTTGATGAAGCTGCGCTCATCCAAGAGCTCTCGAGCCATTTAACTCTTTTGTCCATTTGAATGTTCACTGTCAAAACCTCATCAGTCAGAATTATGGGACAGAATGGTAATTGGTCTCCTCTGGATGTGTTTTTTCCTCCTATGTGCTCTTGCAGACGTGATTAGTCTGAGTTGTTACCGCGTGAGGAGATAAGTGAAGAGATTGGGCTCTAATTTTGTGGAGGTGCAACAACGCCGACTGCGGCAGTTTGACGGGTTTTCTGACGGGCCCATACATTTGCTATTTTGCTGCCATTGAAAACTTGTCTGCCTTGATTAAATCATATGCAAATGGCACCACGAAGTAAACAAAACCTCCTCATGCATCAGACTCTGTGGTTCTAGCTCCTGAATGTCGTACATGGTGAAGTCAGAACACCAGGGCTTGTTCCTCCGTTAGTCCTCGCCTGCTTTTTTATGTATAATTTGTTATTTCAAACACTTTTTTATGGGATGATGCAACGACATCAGATAAAGTAGAATTAAAAGGTTGTTGATTAAACAACAAAAACTAGAGATGCACGATTTATCAGCGCCCACATCAGTATCAACCGATATTAGTGTTTTTCCCAATATATCAATATCGGTCCGATGAACAACTTCAGCCGATGATTGTCGAACATCAGCGCCTTCGTCTCTACGTTTGATGTCGCTGATATTTCACAGATGTTTTTACTTAAATGGTCCTGGACTTAAATATGTTAAAATATGTTTTACTTTTGGAATAAAGAAGACTATGTGGTCTAATTTGGGCTTCTTCTGAATAGTTTGTGCTTAATTATACTCATCTTTTAGTGTGAACAAAAACTGAATATCGACATCAGTGATATCGGTTATCAGCGATATCAGGAATCTTAATATCAGATATCGGTATCGGCCAGAATTTTTTATATATTGTGCATCACGACCAAAAACTCATCTCGGTGCATCAGAGTTACATATAGAAGCTTTATAATCCCTTCTGCTCTGCAAATCCCATCGGGTTAGGTCTATGCTGTCGCTTCCTCTAGAATGAGCGTAGCTACGAAATCCTCGCCCATCATTCGCTGCTCTCTGCTGCAGCTTAAGCACACCAGCTCACTCTGCTCAAACACTATAGAAGTACTGTATGCTATGCAGCGGTCAAACCAGAGCCCTGTTCTGAAGAAGACCATGAAAGGTCCCACCCTGCAAGGTGACAGGATGGAGTTTTTAGGTTTGCGACACATAAATAAATCTTGAGAATGTTGTCGGTAGTTTAAGATAAAAATGTTCAGCCATAACTCTACACTGACTGAGATTTTCAGTGGAAGGAGTCTTTAAAGCCGACATCGTGATCACATAAACGCTTTCAAACCATTTATTTTTTCTCTTATTTACTTCCATTGTCTGAACATTAGTGAATGATGAAACGCTGCTGGATTGTGAGCGCTGCGTGCTCACGCCGTGCTCCTCTGCCTTCACACAGCAATATGATATCAGCAACACATCTTCTGTGGAGCTGCTGTTTCCCTGCGAGTGGCACATCTGTTTGGAAGCGATGAGACCAGCGATGTGTGCTGGGAGACACCTGCACCGGGACCAGCCGCTATGTGGAGTTAATCAGACTTTCAGAGCGAAGCGCTTCCACACCTGCAGCCGCGTCCTTTGGTTCACGCCACAGGAACAAAAACATTACTGTCGTTTTTTTTTTTTAAAGCGTCGTTTACACTGACTTGACACATATAAATAAACCGGTACGTAAAGTTGCATGGACGGCAGGGAGCTGATTCTGTCTGAAAAATCTTGTGATGGCTTGCATGGTCGTTTCCATGGCAACCAAACAGTATTGCATAAAGATACAGATTTGGTTCTTGTCAGTTCAGCACATCGGCAAAGGATTAAATTTGTCTTTTAAAAAAAACAAACATCTAAAACAAACAGAGTGAATCATTGTGCCAAAAACCAACGAGCATTTAGTGGGAAATGGATTTTGAAATACCATCCCTGCTCCTTTTTTCTTCTTCTTCTTCCCTGTTAGTCATCCAAACCCAGTTGTTTTATGCATTTGCTGCACGAGAAAGTGGAAATGAACTACTTGGAGTGTTAGTTAATTCTTCTGTCACCTGATGAGGGCAAATCTAACGTCGTTCTCGATGCTCATGTCGGCTAAAAGGTTCAAACTTCATCTCTATTCGTCGTGAGATAGCAAGAATCAGAGAATGGAGGAGAAGAAGTATAGGAAGAAAGACACAAACAAGTCAGACATAACAATGGGAATGAAGATAACAGGTGCTCAGGAACGTTCACACACTCACACACACATCTTTGTCCTGGATGGATGGAACCTGTGAAGGACAAACAGTATCACCGGTAGCCAAGTAACACCACTGAGATAAGAGTGCAGCCAGGTGGATCAGACCCTGCTGCCCAGAGCGATAACCGCGAGACGAAATAAACAACATACGACCAAACAACTAGAGCTTTATCGTGTGCCAGACTCTGCTGTGTTTCTGTTATTATTTTCGCGTCATGTCTGCTTTGATGAATAGTGCGCTGTGGAAAGAGTCAGGGATGCACGAGTAAGATTGCTGCATCCTATTGGGTTGACTCTCGGCTGGCCAGTGAAGACTGACGTGCACTTCCATTGTCTTCTCCATATAATGGAAGCAGCTTTTACAAAAGCTCGGTTGGTGACTTTGTGCAAACACTTTATAAGCACAGCATGTGTGCAAAAGCGCTGACATATTTCACAGTTAATAAAAACATAAGGTGTGTTGATGCTAACAGGTCCTCCTGCACTGTTTTACTGGGTGTAATTAACTAATCTGTTAACTAACTATATACATATATTCTGTACTGTGTGGTCAAACAAGTCCCTGTAGGTTTCAAATGTTTCTCACATAGAGGTCAGAAAAATCACTAAAATCTTCCCCAAATTTCAGATCTGACAGCCACAACATTCAGATATACGATACAGATCCATTATATTCATTTCTTAATGTCATCCACACGTGTATTTACCCAAAAACTATGATCATTTTATAGACGTAATTCCACAAATACATACATACAATACCCGCCATGCAGTAAAAACATCTGCTGAATGTTAGCAGATGTTATCAGAACACAGAAGAAGAAGAACCCTGAGGGATTCCACGTATTAGAATATAATTAGAAGAAAACTGTCAGTTACACGAGTTTATCGGCGTCTGTTTTACTCTGACTCGTTTACTTTTTTTTCTGGCCTTGGTTTTCACTGATTCCCTGTTTCCTCCCCAGGTGGGTTGTCAAAAGAGGCCGGAGGAAGTCTGACATCTTTGTTGGTTCAGCCCATTTCTGCCTTCCTGGCGAAGACGCTGCTTTCCTCTCCGTCCACGGGGCAGGGAGACGCCTGCGTTCCTCTCGCCATGCCTCCCAACGCAGGTAAACACAACGCACAGCGTGACACGTTTGCTGCTGAAGCCTCATTATCAGTAAAAAAATTCACAAGTGTGATATATTTTTATCGTCCATAACGTCACACAGTAAAGCCGCCGAGTGAAAGCGTTGGAGGCTTTGTGCATGCCTGGGGTTCAGTGGTATAGAGCATCAGACTGACAGTGTGGTTCATGCTGGGTGTGCCGTGATCCAGGAGTTAAACAGGAGCCACTGAAGGAAAAGCTCCTGATTTGGTGGTTCATCTGAATTCAAACCACTAACCGCTATTGTCCAGGTCTCTCTAGAAAAAGAGATTCTAATCTCAGGGGACTTCCAGGTTAAATAAGCATTGTCATGAGTTCTGGTTAGTTTGTGTTGTGGATACAGACACAGGACGGCTGGTTCACCCTGAGGCCCAAGCTAAGGAGATGTGAGGGCTGCACGACAAAACGAGGCCGACACAGTTCACTGGTTTGACAAAACCTAAAATCCCAACAAAAAATCAGAGTGTCATGACAGTGTTTATCAACTGCTTTTGTTAACCAGGTTTCTCTTTATCACACTTTGTGTACTCGCCCATAAAAGAGGGTGTTTGATGCATCATTTGACTAAAGTGGGCCGATGGCGTGCCACCTACTTCAGTCCAGAGGAGCAGCTCGTTATAATGAAGAATAGCAAAAACCATCACAGCAGAAAGCCCAGAGAGGAAAACTGTTAATAGTTTATATGTTTATTTCACCTCTCAGTGCAGCTGCTTGTTTCTAACATTAGAGCTCTTAAACTTTACACTTAATTCACTCCAACACGATATTCTAGAAGTGCATCTGACACATAATGAAGGCGGCGTGGGCATCACGTTTTCACCAAATCAAAGTGAAATAATGTCATTGATTGAATATTCTCTGTGATAAATACCAATAGACTAATCAATGCTGTAATCTGGGTTCGATTAGCTGCAGCCAGAGCAGCGTTGTACAAACGTGGCATGAAGACAGATTAATGTGTTTTCTGCATCACCCACTGGATGCATGGGTTGCAACGCATGCAGCTTCTGTAACTGCACCGGTACCGCATCGCAGAGGGCTCAACAGGTTTTCAGATACAACACATTTCCTCAGCTGAATCTACAGAATACGATAAAGAAAAGTAATTTGTAAAAGGATGGCGCTTCCTCAGGACGATTTAAATCCTAAACTCTGAATGTGACCTCCTCCGGAGCAGGTTAGCGGTGCAGCATCAGTCACCATGGTGATCCAGCCAGATTAAAAAAGAGCCACCTCCATGACATTAAAATCTGACTTTGGGCCTAAAATACCTCGCTGAGCCATTTATCTGCCTTCATAGTGCACCCCTCACATATCAGGAGGGAGTTCAGAGTAAAGCCACTGCTCCCCTCCATGGAGGTAAAGCTCCTAAAGAGGAGACACGTATCTGCACATATTACATCTAATGACTCAGGATCCTCCAGGACGGCTTTGCAGTGAATGTCAGGTGAAAGAAAGTAATAAGTGATTCTATTTATGTCCATTTGTGTCAGCAGATAAGTTCATCCTCAAAGAATAAAACAATCCATTACCAAGGTGTGAGTAGGCAGTGTGTCATCAGCCGTCCTACAGATGTCCTGCTACGATCCAATTACAAGCTTTGTTTGGATCCTTTCAGTCATTCAGAGCGCAGCAACAAGTCATGTCACAGTGTGTCTGTAATCACACTAACGATGGGCATCTGAGATTGAATTCAGCAGTTAGTCTATTAACCAATCATCAGGCAAATAATCAGCAGCTGCTTTATTGAATTATTAATGATTGAAATAATTATTCAAGCATAAATGCCGAGCCTCCTTTGTTCTGGTTCCTATAATGAGAAGCTTTTCTCCATGAGCTGCAACTGTAAACTAAATATCATTGATTTGACTTATGACAGACATTTGAAGGCATCGGCTCGGACTTTTAAACATTCAAGGGTGTTTTTTTTATGCTTTCTCGTATTCCAAATAAAGAATTTATCAATCAAGAAAATAATAAAAAGCTGCATGTATTATTTAGCGTTCAGCTGATAAATGTTGATTTATTCATATCATTTTATTGGCCCGCTGCACATGAAGCTTCGTTTGGATAATATGCACAGAACACTGAGAGAGTTTTTTAAAAAGTCACACAAATCAATAGAATAAGAAAATAAAGAGAGTGTACGTGTTAAGGTCACCTCTTCACTGCAGGATTGTGTGTGCGAGCCGTTCTCTTTCTATCACTTTGCTCCATCTTAATGGATCCCCTTTACCGCCGCCGCCTACCTCCGCTAACGTATCTGTCACACTCCACGGTGACTCACAGAGTTCATAACCTGGAATTTCCAGCAAACACCGCTTGGTTAAGTCACAGATGTGACCTGAATGCCCCCTATCCGCTGCAGCTCCAGCGTCCACGGGAAGAGCTTCAGAGGCACCACTCCTTATCCGTCTTCATATTGTACATAAGTCGTGTTCCATACAGGAATAAATCCATTTCATTTAGTTTTGATGATCATGGTATATATTGCAGCAACATGGGTGGATGGAATGAAATAAAGGCTGCTCTGTGAGTTCAGACAAGGAAGAGTCTGGACAAACTTTAACAGTAGTTTACTCAAACAGTAGCACATTGTAGAGAAACACAGGTCAGATTATTCAGGAGCTCAATTAACTTCACATTCAGTAAAAGAAAATCACGAGGCAGGTAGAAGAGGTAATGATGACTGAGATAGCTGCGATGGATTAGCTTGTGAAGAGGTTCAAGGTGTTCACTGCATTAAAGAAAAGAAAAGGTTTATTAATACATTTTAATTAAAATGAAAAGTGAACTGAACATTCTGGTTCTGGTTCAAAAAACGAAGAAGAAAGTTACCCTCGATGCATAAAGATAGAAAAGTGCGAGCAAATCCATGAGGCCTTTTTTATTTATGTTTATTTTTATTAGTTGTTCCGACACACAGCATCAATACAACGTCAATGACTCCATAAAATAACCAGTGTTGAAAATAATAACGAGCAACACATCAGTGACATACACAGAGTTCATGAAGGTGTTGATGCTGACTTGTGGAGTTCTTCCTGATGACATTTTGATTCATGTAGCGTAACGCCGTACAAACATCTGTCCAGAGCATCATGTGTTGTGTCTCATACTCTGGTGTCTAAAACAAGCTCTTAGATGACAACTGTTGGAGTTTGAGGCTCTAGCTGCTACAGCCTTTAAATAGACCTCTAGTTGCCATATAACGTGTGATTCCTGTCCTGGAGAAGAAGGACATAGTTGTACCGCCACAATGTCAACACAGGGAGGAGGTCAGGGTGGATGGATGGGTCAACTAATGCTGGACTTCACTTCTGACATTAAGCATCGGTTTCTTTTAGTTATGACCACGAGCTTGTAATTGTCACTCATTAAAGCCAAATGATTGCGTGTCGAAGCCTCTTCAGACTTCATCCTCTGTAGAACTAAACTCTTCTGATGCAGTGACCTGTTCAGAAGGCAGATCCTGTCTACAGGTAAATGAGCCGTTAGGGATGTCTGATCAGACTTTCATGTTTCACTGAAGGATATTAAGCTGCACCACATCATGGCCATAACAGACTTGTCCATTCCAGCTGTTGTCGTTTTGTTATTTTCTATTTTTTAGTGCCTCTTTGCTGTCTGAATGCTGCTTCAGAGACTCTTTTTTTCCCCATTTTTTGTGGGCCACAAAGTAATAACTCTTAGAAACTTCAATCCAAAGTGTTGGGCTATTGAGCTTGAAGCGACTATATCTGTTGACCCCGAGTGCAGATAAAGAAAGGGCAGGAGGGATAAAGGTAAGGAGGCATGCAATGATAACATTTGGTCTATATGTTATAAGCAGTTGTACCCGTCGCCCAGAAGGCTGGTCAGCGGCTCGTGTAGCGTGCGGCTCCATTATTAACACGGTGCAGTTTTAAAGCTGTTTTTGACTGTACTTGCGTGCCATCCTTGCTCCTGTTATTTTGGGCTGTTTAATTACTCCAGCTAGTTTTTATTGCAGTACAGTTTTCATTGCCTCGAAACACGCCTTGGCTCTCGGGTGCACCTCACGACCGGGCCGTCAGATTCGGTTGTTAATTAACCTGCAGTGAGCGAGTTGAAAGCAGAGATGCAGGGACGAGCTCCTACTGTACGAGTCACCGTGACCTTTTCCCACACAAAACAGAATAAATAGATAGACGCAATGATTAAATAAAAGAGATGCTTTCTTATGACCGGGGTTTTCACATTCCTCCTCGAAGGCAAAGAAAGGCCCTAAAATATGAGCGTATCAGGGCAGAACATTACAGAGCCGCGGGGCAAAGATGGTCATAAAACGCTTGTGAAAAGTATGACTCCTGCTTTTACACAGAGTGTTAAAGTACGCCTGGAAAAGAAGACAGAAATCAGCAAGTGCAGCAGTGTCAATAGCAGAAAAAGTACTTTCTCTCACACTGAGAGGAAGGGTTTTTTCTCGACAAATTAAAGCACTATGAAAAACGTCAAAAAAGAAAAACTGAATATGCAGCAAGGCAGTGTAATTTCCTTTGCCAGAAAAAAGGGTGACAAGAGGATAGCAAGGATATTTTTGCATTGTTTAAAGACAAGGTGGAAAGAAGCCAGGCAGGAGAAAGGAAGATGGTGGAGAAGATGGAGAAAGAGGTGATGAAGATTTACTTTAAATCATATTTCCTTTGACTCACTGCTTTAATGTGTTGAGGCTTTAGTTTTACCTTCCTCACACTTTGAGCTATGTGGCTATGAGATTTCTGCCATCACACCAGTTCAATGAAGACCCTCAATTGTCTATTTTTTTTTTTTTTTTTTATATATTTGACTTTTTTTTTTTTTTTTTTTTAAATATTTAAAATAAACCTTGTAACAGAGAGTACGTAGCCCTACTAGGGACTGTACACTGTTAGCATGTTAGCATTGTTTATTAGCAGTCTGCAGTGAGATGGGATCATGTCAGTTTTCAGATAGTTGGTTATA